TAATTTTATTTCATATCAACCATTAAATGGTAAAATAAACAAGAATATCCTAGGAAGTGTTTAAGAAATTTTATAAATTATAAACATGTTTATAATTATAAATAAAAACTTAATCTAAATGAATAACAACCATTGATGGTAGCATATCCTAGATATTCAAGCATATTCTAAATATATCCACTACCTCTTTATAAGTTTGCTTAAACAAACAAAAAATGCACAATAGTCTTATATTTGTAAAAAAAAGAGACAGGTTATACCATGCAAGAGCCCATGACTTCCACACAACATGCCCTAATTGAATATATGTATTTATGACTAGCCAAGAATTCATGAGTTCTATCTCAATATAATTTTTTATCTTGTTTGTTTGAAGTTTTCATTTCCATTTTTCTTATTAAGCCTTTGCATATATAACTTTTTTAAGTTAGCCACCATGCTTGTTAAAACGAGGTCTATCATAAGGTAACTTATGACATTGATAAAACCACTTTCACCTTACAATGAAATTCTTTATAGTATTGTGTGATATCCACATTGGAAAAGGAATTGAGGGAAAATTGGAATTAATTGACCTATGTAGGATGTCATATTCTAAATTGAAAGCAATAGTTTTATAAGATTACGTCTTAAATAGTAGTTATTAAGCTAGCTAGATTTATATACTTACTATATTTGTTAGCAGCTATAGTCTTCTATATATCTCAGTGTAAATGCATGAGAATAGAATGGATCAGAGTACAAAAAAGAGTGATGAGTCTCTTTTACATTATAAAATCGAAACATCCATAAGAAGTTGAGACAAAGAGCACTAGACTGTAATATAACAAAAAATGCTCTACTCACACAGAATTTCTCAACACCCTTAAATAGACAGTGTTAACATGTGAAGGAAGTAAAATAAAATACCATAATCTCTTTAACATACCGCACCTAAGTTGCTCTCCCATTTCCTTCTCCACTGGAGGAACTACAACATTAGACTGGGCACTTCCAGCATGGTGTTCACGGTGTGTGTCATACCTCGGATCACAATCAGGCATGTTACATCTCCTGCCATGTCCATAGTTTTGGCATGCTACAGAGGAGGGGCTAGAAGGTGGTGTAACCATTCTGTTATTTGTCTTGGATCTGAAATTGTGAGGTGGTGTAGCAAATCCACCTCATCCACATGCTTACCTGGATCATTTTCTTGGTGTAAACTCGTATTAAAAGAGTCTGATGGACTTGAGTTCAACCACATATCAAGCATGCTGCCATTGAAATGTGGTGGGAGCATGAGAAACTCCACGTACTTCGCTGTGGCGCTATCCTTGTAGTGCATTAATGGTTGTTCAGTGGATAAAAGGGGTCTTGTAGCTAGTTTTTCTGCAACTTCCATCATCTCCCTATAGCGTAGGAAGATAGCATTCCTGATTGTTTGACTGCAGCCCTAATAGAAACACTTGTCTGGCTTTCTAAATGGCCCATTTTTTCTGCCATATAACAAACACTTTCAATATATAGAAAATAATATCAAAAGAAATACTGAAATATTTTTATAATGTTTGAGTGTGGGCAAGTCTTGCATACTCTATTTCTTCTCAAACTATTCATTATTATCCAGCTCTCTTGCAATTTTCATGCTCATGAGAGATACCTCCTCCACTTCCATGTTGGTAATGCTTTTTAGGACTGAAATCACCAGATTGGATATTTTACCTCATTTTAATGAATATTATTCCATAAAATAATTATACTTAGATTAATCTAATATGTATATAGAAAGTTTCTGGTTTGCTTAAGCAAAATGGTAGTGAATATACCTAGAATATACTTGGATATTCTGGGAAATTCTACCATATTCATTTAGATTAATCTTTACTTTAAAATTTATAAACATGTTTATAATTATAAAATTCTATTTGATTAATTGGATTAATAAATAATACTAAACACTACTATTAAGAAAATAAAGTGTTGCTGCATGCAACGCACAGCAAAATATTTGCATGATGAAGCAAACTGATATTTAAGAATCTTAATCAAATATATGGATATTTATTAATATTAATTAAAATAATTATTTAAGAATAATAATTTAAAATGTTGACTTTTTAACAGTATTATTTAAAATTGTTAATATTTATCAATATCCTTAATTGCAATTGTGTATCAATGTTGTTCAAAATTTCATGACACTCCTTTGCAAGAGACCCCAACATGTTTTTTAAATTTTTCTTTGATCTACTTTCACTTGCTCCGAGGGTTTGGAAAACTATTTTTTATGAAAATCCCTCATTAATGTTTCTTCTAGACGGTTGTTCTTTTTAATCTCTAAGAAATATCTCAACCAAGTACTAGTTCTATGTACTCAAGATAGCTAAATATTGATATCCCTTATTCTTATTATGAATCTGTCATGTTTGTTTTCTATCATCAATTTGATATTTTGAATTCTTTTATATTTAATTATCAATATCATCTCCCTTGGTTCTCCAAGAATTGAAGCTTCGCTTGAAGGAATACTATCTCCTAAATACATCTTCATCAGGAGGTTGATCATATACCTCAAATTGGTCTGACCTGCTAACATGCACATCAAACTCTGACTTGAGGTGGCAGACAAAGCCAAATTAAGAAAACCTTAAACCCTAAGAGGTTTGGGGATGGAGGCCGGGCTGCGCTCTCGTTTCACACCGACAAGGGAAGGGACGACTCGAGCCGTAAGCTAACGGCCGCGGAACAGGCCCAGGTATGTATACCTCCACCAACCTACGAGGACGAAAGTGTCTTCCCCGGAAATTCCAAAAGCATCCACACGGATTTTGCGTCGGACAATGTCGCCTCCTGGACGCTGGGAGCCTGGGATGGCTTCCTGGACGAGGTGCGAGACTTCTCGCAGCAGCTGCCAAGAACGGGCTCTTTCTACTCCAAACCCGACACCACCGTGGAGCCGATCTCGGACGCATCGGGTTTGGCTATGGACCTCCAGGACGGCTTGCATCGCCTGGGACGGAACATCAGTGCTTTCTCTGCTCAAAGCGTGGTGGGTTGGCCGGATATCTGCGTGGAATGGCGAGACAAAGATGATGCTCCAGCGCTCCTCGTGGGTATTGTGGAGCTCGACACTTTGCCAGCGTTTCCACCGTCACGTATCCGGGAGGACTCGGTCTCGTCACCGACATCACAGTTTTGGCCAGTATTGAACCGGCTGAGGGAGATGTTGGCTCTGTCCGGAGGCCTGCGTTATGGCTTCGTGACGACGAGGACAAAGTACTGGTTTTGCTATGGTGACGAGACCGTGCTGGCCCTGTCACCACCGGTGGATGTCGAGAGCGTCACCTTGGCTTGCTTCTGGTACCTCATGGCTCTTTCCGAAGGGAAGGAAGCGAAACCTCCACCGATGAAAAATGTGTGGAACGTAGGCCGCACTACTGATTTCACAGGCATGCAAGACGCGATGAAGGGCATGGTGAAAGATTTAGCCACGACGCTACTGGCAGATGGCAGCAGCAGCGGGGGCCAAGTCCACGAGAAACTCGAGTTTTGGTCGAGTCGAGAGTTTGAGCTGGGCCGCAGGCTTTACAAGTTCAACTGTGACATACTCTATGCCAAGCTGCGCAATGGTGGCGACGAAGTGGTGCTTAAGATCCGGGACCTCGGGAGCCATCGGAGCTGCTTGAGGGACGAGCTGGAAAGGTTTGTCAAGGAGGTTTTGGCGTACAAGAAACTCCGGAGAATCCAGGGGCGTGCCATACCACAGCTGAGGAGCTACGGGTTTATGAGTGGTGGCATGTTTGCTGTGCTTGTGCTGAGCTATGGTGGCCAGCGTCGCGATTTCCATGCTCTCGACGCTGCATCGGCTGGACGATATGGAGAAGAAGCTGCTCGAACCCTGCATATGATCCATCACCAAGGGCTTGTTCACGGCGATCTTGACACGAGCTCGGTGGTGGTGAGAAGTGAGGAGCCTCTGCGGGTGACTATTGTTGGACTTTCTCGAGCCCAGCCTGCTGCGACGGCCAAGGAATTTTCTCGAGAAATGGTAAGGATCAAGGCAGGTTGTGGAATGACAATCAAGGAAGCCCGGAAAGTAAGGCTTCACTATAGCGATGATGATGACACTGGAGATGACACCACGCCAAGTGGTTGAAGGAAGATTCTTAGATATTCTAAGAACTAATTTGCAGGCTTTTAGAGCAAGAAAGTTGTGAGTGACAAGTCAACAGGCAGCTCAAGTAGCAATAATAGTTACTGAATATAAATTACAATATTATGATACTATATCAAACTATAAAAATATTATACTTTAACATTCAACTATATTTCGCTTTTTTCAGTATTTCTTTTCCTTCCTAGCCTCAAGATTTTGCAACACTTTTGATTGGATACACTCCTTTCCAGCTTATGATTTTTAAATGCCAATGGAATCTACACCAATTGATCCACACAATCACATCTTTTTATGTGGGCATCCCAAGCTTCCTCCATAGCATCCATCCAATCACACGAAACACTAAAACCTTAAATCTTGTTGATGTGTCAAAAACTTGAGTGGCATGTTAATTGGCTGACGCAATGTGGCAAACTTGGGCATGTAATATTTTGCAGTAATTGATGCCTATCCTATACCCATCAAGATAAAGTCCAAGCCCCACATGTGCTCTAGTGGCGGTTCTGAGTGTGAAGTGACATAGTTGTTAGAGTGGTTGTCAGTGTGAAGTGACATTAGAATGGTTATCGATTGTGACTCCACTCAACTTACTTTGACTTCGAATTTCGAATTGACTCCAAATTGCTTGTGCCTTACGCAATTGAGAAAAAAAAATTGGCAGCAAGGTGTGAACCAGTTGCCACAAATGTGTTGCCATAAGCACCACCTGCATCACCTACCACAGAAACTCAAGCTCCCCAGCCTGACACCCGAGAACAGCTCGGGCTAGTTCTTTCACAATGCATGACACAATCTGCCTCCATGCTTCCATTGGAAGTTTTCTGGGCTCCTACAAAAACGCCTAGCATTTTTAAGCACTTTTATTGTAAAATTTCTTTATTCTGGATCACATCACACAGACACAGAACACATTAGTTAGAACACATTATTAGAATGCCAAGAGCAACACAACACTCAGGCAAACATTCAGTCCCCAGCACACGCTTTCCTCAAGGTTTTGCGTTTGTTTCATCTTTCCTAGCTGCAGCAAAAGCAAAGCAAAAGAGTGAGAAACAAATACAAGATAAGAAACAAAAAGTTCTAGTGCCTGGGTAGCCAGCAAATTTGCACACGTCCTGCCCGGTGCAAGCGACGAGTGCAGACCGCAGCGCCTGAATATCGTAGTTGGGGATGTACTTTTCGCAGTCGCAAACCGCAGAGCCCAGAAGGAGGAGCTGCACGCAGCAGCTGTTAGCCGGGTTGGGGAGCAAATTCCCGCAAGACGTGCAGCTCTTGTAGCTCACGGCCTTCGACAGAGAGTTGGAGCTCGCCGTCGCCACCATGTAAACCAGAAACACCACCACTGCCACCGACTTGCAGCTCATCGTTGGTTCAAAGCTCTGGAATTTCTTTAGAAAGAAAGAAAAGAGAAACCAAGAGGGAGTGTGTGCTGGGTGGTGTGAGGGGAGAGAGAGCTATATATCCCCGCAAGGAATGCCTCTCCACCACCCACACAGTATCCCCAGGCACGGACACTCCGAACGAAATTACTTACCAGACGCAAACAAATGCTGGACAAGGAGGGACCGCCTCACGCTTTGTCCTCCTCCGTCTTCTGTGCGTCCAAAATCGCTGCCAGCGAGGGTGGCGGCCGGTAGACAATGCTTCTCTTCCACTTGGCCTTGAGCTTCCTCGACTCGCGTGGTTTTATCCCGCGCTCAATCTCTCGCTCTCGTTTCACGGTGAGCATCCGAGCAATCTGCGGTAAGTAGGAGAGCGTGGGCTTAGCCGCAAAGCTGTTTCTAGGCTTAGCTTACCTTCTTTTTCATGTTCTTGTAGTCGCTGACACGGTAGTCCTGCCGGGTTACCTTCTTGCAGCGCATGAGAAAGAGCTCGCCCTTCAAATCCACCACCGTCTCGTTGATGAGCTCGTCCGACATCCCCCGGATTTCCTTGAGCTCGATGGTCCTCTTGGCCATCATGGAACTCTGAGCGGCTGCGCCCTCAGCCGCAAAGGTGCTGCGATCTGAGTCCTCTTCAATCCCTGCTAGAAAAAACCCACCAGCAAAGAGCTGAGAGCAATGCAAATCAGAATTCGAGCACACTTACGCATGAATCCAGCTTGAGCCTCAGTCCTGCCATTCCTGTCGCTGCAAGCGCCATAGCCACAAAAGGATGAGACACTAGAAGAAGAAAAAATTTGGTTTTTTTTTTAACTTTCTTCCATTACCTACCTATAGGTAAGGTAATTCTTCACAAATCAGGAAAACAAAAAAGAGAAAAACATCGAACCATCTCAGCGCATAGATTGCTGGTGAGCTTTAGTGATTCTCCGCACGGCGGTCAGCCAGACACCACATTCGTCCCACTCTCGCGATGTCAAGTCGCCCTGCACACAGAGAAAAGATGGATCGTCAGCTACATACGGCAGAGGAAAAGGCAAACTCACTAGTATCTCATGAGCCGAAGGGAAATTCCGACTATCCAGTGCCTGACAAAGCAGAAGTAGCTTCGTCTCGACATTTGGCGATACGTCCCCAGAGTTTAGCTTGGCGAACAAAGCTCCAAGCTTTCTGGAGTTGTCATCCACTTCACGTTTCTTTACAGGGTTGCTCATATCGGACGTTTCAGCGAAAAGCCTTTTGAACGTAGAAACCACAGGCTTCAATTCATCTGTAAAAGAAACCAAATGTAAAAACACGTTGTGTAAGGCGACATTACCTTTAACATTCTGTGTGTCAACAGTGTGGACAGTCGGGGGAGGGGCCGGCGCTGATGGAGCTGTGTATGTAGGCTGGGGTGCTGGGGCAGATTGTGCTGGTGCTGTATATGTTGCTGGAGTAGAATGTGGTGGTGCTGTATATGTTGCTTGAACTGTATAAGGAGTCTGTTGTTGTAAGTGTGAGATCAATGGTTGAGCAGCTGTCGGTGGACTAGGAAGGCGTTGGAGAGGAGGCTGCACAGGCTGCACGCGAACAGGGTTGAATCCAGCAACAGGATTGAATCCAGCGGGCGTATGAACTTCTGTTTGATGTGACGGTCTCGGCACCATAAAGCTTGAAGCAGGAGGCTGCACACGAACAGGGTTGAACATAGTTGGAGGCGGGACGTGAGGTTCTGTTTGCTGTGGAGGCCTTGGAACCATCAAGCTTGGAGCAGGAGCGCTAGGAGCGGGAGAAGATGGTGCATACTGACCCATCGTTGGCGTTGGCGTTTGAGTGTAATGCGGGTAGTCGTACGGTTGCGAAGAAAATCCCTATGAGCATACCACATTAGGACAGGTAACAACACATCTCGAAGTACCTGATTGTAACTCGGCGTATACCCAGTGTTAGGATACATGGGTGATTGACGGCTTGCCACTGGCGCTGGCGCGGGCGCGGGCGCTGCCACTGGCACTTGCGGCGGTTGCTGACTTCTCTGAATTCTGTCTCGAAGTATCGTCAAACTTTGAGGTAGTTCCCCGGGGACCAAAGAGAGATACGCGCCGGCAGATTCTACAAGTCCTTCACTCGCAAGAAGTTCACAAAAACTCTCTACTGCCTTTGCTAAGGCCGGAGTGAGTCGCTTAAGTTCGACAGCGACAGCCAGCACAAGTGACTTCTCCACTAAATCCTGTGATCCCAATGTTAGTAGCAAGAGACACTGAAACAACCATACCTGTAAATTTGTCGTAACATGCTTCCCATGATTTGGGGTGCTGAACGCGCGAGAAAGCACTTCAATAGTCTTCTCAACATTGCCTGCACATATATAACAGATTGTTGCTGCTTGAACATCGCCGCCAAGATCAAGCCTTGAAGCCAACGCATTAGCAAGTTGTGACCAGTCTTCACCACGCGCGTACTGCGAAAAAAAAAAAGAAAAAAACAACTGTAAATCTACTTCGCATAAAGCAAATAATACCGTAGCCAGAAGAGCTAATGTCTGCTTCCATGCAGCTAAAGGCCTGTTTGCGACTAATCCACTGAAATCTCGTGTTACAATCGCGGACAGAACCTGGCAATATAAACCGAGGTGAGATTTAGGAACACAAGGCATCACGAACCTTGAAATACGAACGTTGGTTTTTCTTCACATACTCATCCCGAGTTTTCTCTCCCAAAGCTTGACTTCCAGCATAAGCAATGCTCAAGGCATCGGCAATTCGGTTCATAGAAATGCATTGTGCCACTGCTCCCTTGAAGTCTCCAACAACCAGTGCCTCCTCGATTGCATTGTCCGAGTCCCTGCTAGTATCATCTACTTCTTGTTCTTCTGTGCCTTCTGCGGTGGTCTCATCTTTCCCGTTCATTTGTCCAGCAGCTACCTCGGGTTCTTTTGGCTCTTGAAGGTTTTCAAAAAAGTCCTCCCCATCGTCAATTGGTGTTTCTACAGCCGGTACGTCTGTTTGAATTTCGGCCTTCTCTTCAAACTCTTCGGCAAGTGCGTCGACTTCAGAAAATTGAAAGCCAAGCTGATTCAATAGAGCCTTTCTTCCTCCATCATCGTCAAACATCAGCTTCAAATATTCCCACACTTCTCGTTCTTGATCAGATCTGCTAAAAGCAAAATTAGGAATACTGTACAAGCAAAGAATGGAAGACATACTCTGCTTCAGAAGCTTTTCGATCACAAAAAGACTTCAAAAGAGCCCTTCGATCGCCATTGGTAACAGCTTCCTCAAATTCAGTCGAACGTTTAACCGTGCCTTCTTCGATCGCCAAACTATGAACCTTGACCTGTAAGGAAATTTCGAGTTGCGAATAGAGTACAAAGGTGAAGATGTCTACCTCCGAAGCTATAGAATTTTCAGCCTTCTTTTTAAACGAGACGAGCTTTCCACCAAAACCGAAACTCGTTCCCACTGGTCTCTTGAGCCACTTTGGTGCCTTCAAAACCACTGTAACGACAAGACGAAAGTTTACAATATTACCAAGACATGGCTCTACATTACCAGGAGAAGTACGTCCATATTCCTTTTCATTATGGTGACAGGACTGGAACAAAACGAGATTCTCTTGTATAACAAAAGAAATGTACATTCCATGACCTACCTCAATACTGTATATGCCAACTCTTCCATCATAAGATGAGGCGGATAAGATGCCAGGCGTCCGGGTAGACCATTGCACGTCAAAATTCCAACTGTTGCCTCTAGGTAACTCCCCGATAATCTTTCAATCAATTGCCACGAGTCAAGGAAAAACCAACACATATAAGCCAGGAAAGCTTACCTCCCCTGAAACGTCCCAGCACAATGTTCGATTGTCCTTTGCAGAACTTAGTAGCATCGAACTATCACTTGGACACCAAGCCAGTGAAAGGATTCCTGTAACAAACAAATTGAGGCATGCAACGGATGGAACAAATCGCACCTTTTGAATGTCCAGTAAGAACTCGCGTCGGATGATTCGCTTTTCTCAAGTCCCAAGCCTACAGAGGTATAAAACTCAGAACAAAGGAAACAGAAAGCGAAGCTCTTACCTGTAAACAAGGCATATTGTCATCGTCAACTGCGACAATTAACTCGGTTGGAACTTCTGGATTCCATTGTAACGCAGAGTATCGCAGTTTCGATTGTGGATCTGAGAAGCTGAAGAGGAACATGAAAACAAGAAATCAAAGTAAGTTAGAACCTTACCTCAAAACACTTTTTCGTTTCTTCAAGTCCCATACCACTGAAAAAGAAAACAACAGCAAATAAGGAAGACTTAGAATTCAGCGCCGAAAGTACCGCAAACGCCTTCATTTGATGTTGTAGCAAAGATATGAGAAACCTTCCGGTTCCATGAGAGGTGAGAAATCGACGATGCTCCTTTCCACTGTAGAGAAAATCACAGTACTAGACTGGTTCTGAGTTTAAAAAGAAAATAGAAAAACCTGAAGCGGTGGACATGGCTTCGGGGTAGCAGTATCCGTGAGATCCCAGATGTAGACCGTGCCATCAGCGTCACCAGACGCAAGGAAATTAGGAGTGATCGGGTTAAACTCTAGCCCAACGATCTGAAATTCCACAAACAGGGTTGAAAATCGAGCATAGCAACAAGAATGCTACCTTCTGTGTGTGCTTTTCTATCTTCGCCTCGGCGGCACTCTCGGTATTGCTCTGGAAATCGCTGCAAAGACAAATGTGACCTAGAGATCTAGCGCTCGATCGCTGGCCTACCTTACAAGCGCGGCCGGATTCCAGATATTGATGCTCCCATCCGCCAATCCGCCGGCCAGCAATCCCGCCTCACCCGCCCAGCTGAGGCGATTCAGCGGCTCGGCGGTGGCGCAGGATCCCACCAGCGGCAGCTCGACGTCGTCGCTGGCCAAATCGAGCTTGAAGAGCTCCAGGCACGTCGACGAGCTGAGCGAGGAATCCAGAGATCCGGCGACCGTCCCCGCGGCGATGAGATTCTCGCTGGGGCTGAACGCTGCTATGGCCGAGCGCGAGATCGTCTTGACAGCCGCCATGGCTCCGCTCGCTCGCTCGCTCGCTCCTCACAATAAGCCCTAGATCGCGAAGCCTCGATCAAATGCCGTCGATGCCATGGACGGCCCATGATAACATTCCAGAGAATATCCTCCTACCTAGCTACATTCTTCTCTCGTTGCTGGGATTCGAACCAGGCTCGTCCTTTGGCGCGTTTGGGAAGAAGGCGATGAAGAGGAGATTGTTAACGATGGTGATAAGGAAGAGAATGGCCGCGAATTTCAAGAAGAAGGCACTCTCCACCTCGGGGAACTGCGCGACCTCCAATTCCTTGTCGGATTTTCGTGGCGGCGGAGGAACTGATCGAAGCAAGCAAGCAACATCGATAGCATTGAGCATTTCGATCGAAGAAATCTCCTCTTACCGGAAGAAATTCTTGGAGGAGATCTGGTGGACGAGAGGCCCTCGAGCTGATTGTCGAGCTGCTGGAGCTTAATCTTGCGCTGTTCTTCATCGCTTTTGCTGCAACACCGCGCTGCTAATCCTCGCCTCCTCCTCGAGAGCGAAAACGCTGCTATCCTTGGAATAGCTACTAGCGTTACGAGCGACGCCATGGATGGATTAAACTCCGATTTGCTGCGGAACAACGTTTGAATCGTTTTTTTACTGTAATTTTGTTTGACTTAATACGTTTGACAATTAACCCGAAGTGAATATAAAGAAAATTCAGAATTTTTTTCTTATTAATAAAATTAAAAAGAATCATTGGCCCATGCAGGTTTCGAACCTGCGACCTTCGCGTTATTAGCACGACGCTCTGACCAACTGAGCTAATAGGCCTCACATGACAACATTGTCAAATTTCAGTTTACAATGCATCACAGATAGCTAATTTATGGTTTGTAGAAATATTAGTAATAATGTTTATAACAACTAAAGGATCCGTGGCGCAATGATAGCGCGTCTGACTCCAGATCAGAAGGCTGCGTGTTCGAATCACGCCGGGTCCGAAGAATTTTTTTTTTGTCTTTCTCCATTCGTTCTATAGAACCTCATTTTTTCTCTCGTATGGATCATCGCACCAACAAACATCTGATCCACGAGCTCGATGCTCATGCCAATCCCAATCGTAGCTTAGCAGCAGCAGCCCATCACGCAGTAGCGCCCACAGCATTTGCGCGCCATCCGAGCAGCACACGAGCATTCTTTCCGCAATCGCGAGAGAGCTCCCAGACCTCCAAGAACAAGCCACTCCCCCCAACCAAAGCCACTCGATTCCCACACTGGAGTAGCTCTTTGGGCTCGAAAGTCCAGGTGAGAGTCGAGGTGAAACGAGAACAAAGCCACGAATCGTCTCAAATCCAGCGCGTACCGCATCCCACCACCTTCGTCAACCTCGATCCAAGCACACGACCGTCCTCGAGCTTGAGATGTCGCTTCACCTCCCACGAATCCAATCGATCGTCGGACATGCTCTCGATCCTCGCCAGCTTGAATACGTGCTCTGTAGCGAGGACAACCGTGAAGACTTCCAGGATCCCGACCCCTCTGAAAGGGGAGAGGTTCCTGGGAGTGTGGATCTTCGTGTGTTCCCCCCGGAGAGGATTTCCAACGAGCTAGGATGTCGCGGGAGAAGCACAGCAGCGAGATCCCGGCCGAGGCAGCAGCGCACACAAATGTGTGATCTGGAGCATCCACAAGCCCAGCGAGTTATTGAAGATCGCCAGCCTCGAGAGGGCTCTTGCTCGGGCTCGTGCTCGGGCTGGGGTCGGGAGGAACGCCACCGCGGGCTTGCAGGTGGAGGGCTTCCACGGAGCTAGAACCATAACTAATGGAGGATTAGGGCTCTTACTGGAAGAAGACCCAGAGCAAATCTGGGAGAGTTTGCTTGGGCGGAAGGACAGGGCGGATGAAAATCTTCAAGCTCTTCTCCAGCATCCCCGCGGCGGCGTCCAGCCCCTTGGCGCTCAGCTTGGCGCACAGCGACACATCCAGATACTCGAGGCGCGAGCAGCCGCGGGCAATGTGGAGCAATCCTTCGTCCGAGAGCTCGCCCCTCTTCATCTCCAGGTGCTTGATCCCGCGCAGGGATCGCGATAGCACCAGCGCCTCGTCGTCGTCCCCTCTCGCCAGGAGCTTGTTCCGCTCGATCCGGTCGCTGTTCCTCAGCATGTTTCGCTTGAGCCGGATCAGGCGCGGGCAGTGCCGCCCTAGGGCTTCCAATCCGGCGCTGGAGATGTTGTAGCAGTCGCTGATGTCGATCGATGCCAGGAGCGGGCATTTGTACGCGAGCGTCATCGCCGAGGAATCGGTCACGCGGAGGCTGTTCCGGATCCCCAAGCTCACGAGCTTCGGGCACCTGTTGGATCGATCATCGAAAATATTTCCAGTGTTCTTCCAAGAAACCAGAGATGATACCTGTGAGCGATGTATTCCAGGGAGGAATCGCAGCAATGCATGGTGCGCAGGTCTTGGAGCATCCCGCGGCTCCGATCGACGACCTCGTGGATGATCCACTTGATCTGATCGTCACACTCGAACTCCCACCAGAAATCCTGCTGCACGCGCGCCAGGAACCACGGCTCTATGTCCACGCTCGTCCAGCAATGCGGCTCCTCCTTGCATGCCCTGTTCCATCTCTTGCAAACCAGTGGCGCGCTCAAGAATCTCTCCTCGAACGGCAGCCTCGCAAGGATCTGCGCCAGAAGATCGGGAAGTAGCTGCTCCCAGCAGGAGAAAGATTGCTCATCTTCCAGGCCATTTCCCTCCTCGTCGGCCATGATCTTGATCAAGAAACGACGCCACTGCTATCTAGCCCGAGATTGGGAAGGGCATTGTGATTGAAATCTGCCGATGGCGCTGCCGGCTGCCGCTACTCAGCATCTCGATCGCTCCCGGCGTCTCGATATTTCGATCCAGCCAGCGATCACACCGGACCCCGATATTTCGATGAATCCGCTCGACTCCCACCCGCGCCGTCGCCTAGATCTTGCCTGGGACCCGATCAAGGAGCTCTTCGCCTGCATTCTTCGATGCTGTGGGAACGCTCAAGATCTGGCCAAAGTGCGCTGGATCCACGCCTGCATTCGTCGCAGCGATCGACACCGCGACGATCCCGACCTCGCCAATCTCCTCCTCCAGATGTACGCCCGATGCCACAGCCTTGCCGACGCGCGCGCCGTCTTGGAATCGATGCGCGCCCCGGACGCTTCCTCTTGGACGATTATGATCGGCGCCTGTGCCAAGAACGGGCATCTGGAAGATGCCGAGGGCATCTTTGCGAGCATGGCGAAGAAAAGCATCGTGAGCTGGAACGCGATGATCGCAGCTTATGCGATCAACGGCCAGATCGATGCCGCGCGGCAGACCTTCCACGCCATGCCACAATGGGACGTGGTATCTATCACGGCTATGCTTGGGGCATATGCCCAACACGGGCATCTAAACGCCGCCAAGGCTCTTTTTAAAACAATGCCTGAGCGCAACGTGGTGACGTGGAACACAATGGTGACGGCACATGGGGTAAGTGGAGCCGTAGATGCCGCTGAATCGACGTTCCAGAGCATGCCAGAGTGGAACCTTGTCTCGTGGAACGCAATGCTCCAGGCATATGCCGCCAACGGGAATGTAGATGCCGCACAAGCCACATTCACAGCCATGCCAGTTCACAACATGGTATCATGGAATGCAATGCTGGGAGCATATGCCCATACCTTCCATCTTGATGCAGCCGAGTCTACCTTCACCGCAATGCCCTGCCGAGACACAATCTCCTACAATGTCATGATCGCGGCATATGCCCAGGGAGGGCATATCTACGCGGCAAGGCGAATATTCGATGCCATGGACGAGAGGAATCTCGTATCGTGGACAACGCTGCTCCACGCGTACGTCCACATCGGCCGTATTGAAGAGGCCAAGGGAATCTTTGACAAAATGCCCTCACGCAATATCGTGTCATGGACGGAGATGCTGCAGGGCTACTCAGGGGAGGGCCGTCTTGGAGCGGCCGAGGAAATATTTGATGAGATGCCACAACACAACGTTGTGTCGTGGACCGCGATGCTCCACGCATATGCCGGGAACGGGCATATGGACGCGGCAAAGGCTCTGTTTGATAGAATGCCACAGAAAAACACCGTGTCCTGGACGACCATGCTCCAAGGCTATGCCCAAAACGGGCATATCGAGGGAGCCACGGCCTTGTTTAGGAGAATACCCGAGCTCGACGTTCTCTCCTGGACGACCATGGTGACGATCTTTGCTCACTCTGGCTCTGGCTGGATCGCCATCGCGTACTTCCGGATCATGCTGCTCGAGGGTCTCAAACCCAGTAGAGTCTCGATCCTCAGCGTCATGGTCGCTTGCAAACACGTTGGTTTGGTCCGGGAAGGCTGCCGCTACTTTGTCTCCATGAGAGACGATCACGGGCTCTTTCCACTGGAGGAACACCACTCTTGCTTGATCGAGATCCTGGATCGAGCAGGCCAGTTCGAGACGTTGTCGAGCAGTAGCTTATTCAGTGCCAAGTTCTGCTCCTTGGTAAATGACGAGCTCCTCCAGCAGCTTCTCTAAATGCACTGGCACCGAGCGGGTGGCAATTGAGCGTTGGAGGGTCTTCTCCTGTCCCTAGCAATCGCCTCTCGAACACCCGGAAGCTTGGAGCGGACTTTCCTCCAGATCATGTTGACGGCTCCATCCTTGATAGCAGCACCTCTGCCGCCGGGAAAACCATTCTCGTACTCGAAATGGTGCTGTACACTAGCCAGGTTGTGACGCATCTGATTCCTGACCTTGCTGCTCAAGCTGCTCAGGTGCCGGACGAGCCACTTCGGCAGCAAAGCGTCGTGAACTGACACAAAGATGGCGAATTGCGTGTAGTCGAGCATGCCTTCGAACGGTAGCTCGATGCTGTCGCTGACGATCACGGGTATGCACAGGCTTGCCACTGCATCGAACAGACGGCAGGAGCTGGGCGTGTCGCCGGCAGGGTGGAGGCAAAAGTGAGAGTTTCTCATGCCTTGGACTGCTTGGACCTGGCCTGTTCTGTTGGGAAAGCCTTCCTCTAGCAACACTCCGGGCTCGCCATCGAGAACACTCCATAGCTGGTCCCGAACAAGTCCAGTCTACGAGAGAAACAAAAGGAAGAAAATGAGAAACCAAACACGATCTAGAACAATTAGATTACAATAAAAAAAGTACGTACTCTGTGACGATATCTTGCGCCCTTGAAGTAGAGAAGCGTGGTGCGAACAGCATTGTCTTGCGAGAGTGCTAGCGTTGGAAGAAGGTGAGTATATGGAACGATGACATCTTTGATCAACGAAACCTGAGTGTGATAGATGGGCTGGGGACTGCTCAAATTTCTAGAGCTCTTTGCATCTTCCATGTACCAGCCACCAAAATCCACAACGAGAAGGATGGAGTTGGCTATCTCGGCCCGGAAGTGGTACATGGCCATCGGATCTAATTCATTCATCCGAGAGTTTGGTAAAACGAAGATTTTGTTTGCGTAGGCCTACCTGTGAGAACGAAGACGTGATCTCTTCCACCCGAGCGTTGCCACCGCGAGGAGCTCGTCACAATCTCCATGACCGCCTTCTGCCTCTCGTAATCCTCATTGTCCTTGCGGTGCCTGAAATGCCCCTTCCCATTCCTGAGCTGTGCCTCCGCGCTGAGCGCTGCGAAGAACGGCACGAACACCACATCCGCCTGGTCTGGATCCAAAACCCTGCGGGCGAACGACGCATCGCTTCCCGCTTCCAAATCTCCCAGAATCCAATACTCCGCGCTGTACTGTCTGACGAGAGGATCGTCAGGGTACGCCGGGAAAGCATCGATCTGGCTCACAGCACTCCCTGGATAGCTCCTCACCAGGCCGTAGTTGAAATCGCGAGAGAGATTCGCAATGTGGACGCCAATGCCGCCGCTCCAGCTCCGATCGTCGTCGACAGCTGCCCGCTTCAAAGAAAACCCCGATGGATTGGAGTAGAACAGGACGAGGAATGTGATCTGAGACGCAACGATCGTGACCGCGGCGGAAGAAGCACCGCATCGGGGCAGCTGCATTCGATTCGAGAGAAAGAAATAGGGAAGAACCCTAGAAAATATTTTGGAGTCCACTCCACGGACTTGAGAGCCGGATTCCAATTTGGCCGTGAGTCCGTACGCACTGGGGTGTAAAGTCCATTCCATCCATCCACAGTTCCGTTTCGTCGTGGTCGGCCTCTCCAATATGCGATAATTTCTAGGGATTTTAGCCCCATTTCTTGGTTCCAAGAGTTCTAAACCCTCGCCCTGCCCAGCGGGGATCGTCGCGGCGCCGGATCTGGTGAGCTCCCCGATCTCCCACCTCCGTAATCTCGCTTCTCGAATCTCATTCTCTCCTCCGCCAGGTGAAAATCTTCCATTCCCACGCGCGGTGCCTCCGATCTGGATGCGCCAGTGATGGCCGCCGCTGTAGGTATGGCGCACACCATGGTAGCGGGATCCGAGCCCGCGGCGGCGACTAACACCAGCAGCAGCAGCAGCAATGGCGGCGGGGGAGGAGGAATTCCGGGTCGCGTGGATTGGGCAAACTGCCGCCGCAAGTCCGCGCACGTCGTCCTCTGCCCGCTCGTCCGCGTCGGCCATCTCAATCCGATGATGATCCTGGGGCAGAAGCTCGCGCAGATGGGGCTCTCGGTTACGGTGCTCATCCCCGGGAATCGCCCGCTCCGCCGAGTCCTCAACAACAATCCCACCGACGGCCTGGACGTGCTGCTCGAGGTGCTGGACATGGCCGAGGACGAGGACTCCTGGCAGCCCAGCAGCCGATCCATCGCCACCGGCGCGCGGCGGCTCCAGGTGGATATGTGCGCCGTGGCCAGCACCATGTCCATGTTCCAGATGCACGGCGAGGCCCTCCGCCGCAAATTCGACGAGATCAGGCGCTCGCCATCGCCGCCCGTGTACGCCGTGATGGATTACATGCTCTTCTCCTCGGCCAGCGATGGATTCCTGGCCGAGAACGCCAGCCTCGTCCCGATCTGCGTCTTCTGCCCGATCTCCGCCGCCAGCATCATCTTCCATATGTCGGCCTCGCAGCAGACGCTCCCCTCCAAGCTCGCCGATGGGTTCGTCATCCCGGGGCTGCCACCATTCCGCCCACACGACATCTCCGACTACTACCGCGAGACGTCCCACGTCTTGAATCTCCTCTTCTCCGAGCACAGCAATCTCCTGGCCGAGTTCCATCGCCTCATGATCAACACCTTCCACGATCTCGAGAACGGCCCCCTGGACGTGCTCCGCCTCGACGCCAAGGCCACCAAATCCAAGGTCTACGCCGTCGGCCCGCTCCTCCCGCCCGAGTTCTTCAAGCTCGATCTGGCCAAGCCCACGGGTGATCGCGCGGTGGAGGAGATCAAGGAGCACCGCGATCGTCTCGTCAAGAGCGCCGACGAGCAGCGATGCAAGGAGTGGCTCGACGGCCAGCCGGAGACCTCGGTGCTCTACATATGTTTCGGGAGCTGGATCTCGCTGTCGCGCGCCCAGATCTTGGAGCTGGCGGTGGGATTGGAGGCGAGCGAGCAGGGATTCCTGTGGGTGTTCTCGCGCGTCCAGGAGATGGAAGCTCTCCCGGAGGGATTCGTGGAGAGGATGGCGAGTAGCAACAAGGGCTTCTTCTACGTTGGCTGGGCGCCGCAGTTCGTCATCCTCAGTCACTCCTCCACGGGCGCGTTCGTGACGACGTGCGCGTGGAACTCGGTGCTCGAGTGCATCTCCCTGGGCGGCCTGCCCATGCTGGCGTGGCCCATCACCATGGACCACCTACCCACGTGTCGCTACCTGGTTGACGTGCTCCACGTGGCGGTGGAGGTGATTGGCGACGGCGACGAGCGTCTCGTGGGGCGTGCCGAGGTGGAGGCCGCGGTACGCGCGGTCACGGTCGGGGAGGAGGCCGCGGCGATGCGGCGGCGTGCCGCGGCACTGCGGCGTGCGGCGTGTGAGGCGGCGACGCAGGAGCCATTGCGGCCGTTTGTTACCGAGGTACTGCGCCACGCCCACCAGCCGCAGTAAAAAGTGGCGATCTACCTTTAATTCCGGGTGGTGGGTAAATTTCTTTCTTTTTTACCTTTTCATACCGGGCGGGGCAGCAGTGGAAAACAAATTTTTATGGGTATGATCTACTACGTCGAAAGGTTTCTACGTGATTTTTTTCTTGCTTGCGAAGGTTTCTACGTAGTGTTTTTTTTTTCTTCTTTTACGTACTTAAGCCTTGGATCTTTTTTCTTTGTGCCTTGGTTTGTTCTCTTGTTTATAATCCTCATCTCTTTATATGAGCGGTCTAGGGAGATCGGCTATGGCTGCCGCCTCGTCGCAGCAATTCGCAGGTCTCGCGCTCCCGCGCAATCGCTCGTCGACGGCGGCGTCGTCCCAGCGCGCAGCATTCGCAAGAGCGTCGTGTTCTTCCTCCAGCGATCAAAATCAGGGTTCTTCGGTCGGCTGTGGTGGCAGGCGGAGCTTCCTTGGCGGCGCCGCTGCTAGCGCTGGCTTGGTGATCGCATTGCCGACGCTGAGGTCGTCCGCGGCCGAGGAGCAGCTGTCGCAATGGGAGAAGGTCCCGCTGCCGATTGATCCCGGCGTTGTTCTTCTCGATCTTTCCTTCGTCCCGGACGAGCCGAATCGAGGTTTGTATCGGTTAATGGCGCTGAATTTTCCGAAATATCGGTGTTCCTGGCAGGATTCTTGCTCGGGACGAGGCAAACGCTGCTGGAAACCAAGGACGGTGGAAGATCGTGGGCTCCCAGGAGCGTTGCATCCGCCGAGGAGGAGGATTTCAACTACAGGTTTAATTCCATCAGCTTCAAAGGCAAGGAAGGATGGATCATTGGAAAGCCCGCGATTCTTCTCCACACATCCAATGCTGGCGAGACCTGGGAGAGAATTCCCTTGAGCTCTCGGCTTCCTGGCAATCCAGTTAAGTTCTAGCATCTAGAGAAGTGTTGTTCTTGGCGCTCTCATTCATACGCTCTTTTTGCTTTCCATTTCCAGGTGGTGATTCAAGCAACTGGAGACAAGCAAGCCGAGATGGTCACCGACGAAGGAGCGATCTATGTAACATCCAATGCTGGTTACAACTGGAAGGCCGCAGTGGAGGAGACGGTCTCGGCAACGCTTAACAGGTAAAGAGAAGCATTTTTTTGTTCCTCTAGCGATTGGAAGTTTATTGAGTTGTGTTAGATGATCTGCCAGAACTGTGTCAAGTGGAATCAGTGGAGCTAGTTACTACACGGGAACTTTCAACACAGTGAATCGCTCACCACAAGGTGACTACGTTGCGGTGTCTAGCAGGGGCAACTTCTATATGACCTGGGAGCCCGGCCAGGTAAATGGTTGTGATCTTAAGCTGCAAGTCACGGTGTTGATCTGTTTTCGTGGTTCAGCCTTACTGGCAACCTCACAACAGGAGGAGTGCCCGACGCATTCAAAACATGGGATGGCGTGCTGATGGTGGTCTTTGGCTTGTTGTTCGTGGAGGTGGTCTCTACCTTGGGAAATGCTCGGGTGTAAGTTTCCTTCTCGTTTATCTTTCTTTTTTGGATGTTTGATGTTTGATGTTTTAAAAAGGTGTGCGAGGATTTCGAAGAGGCCAGCATTCCAAGCAGGGGATTCGGGATTTTAGACTTGGGATACCGGTCTAAGGTGTGAATGTCAGCACTGGAACGATAGAATTGAAAATGTGTTTTTGTTTTCTACCAGGACGAAGCTTGGGCTGCCGGTGGAAGTGGCATGCTGCTCAAGACAACCGATGGAGGAAACACTTGGAGCCGAGATAGAGTCGCGGACAGCATTGCTGCCAACTTATACTCTGTCAAGTAAGCTCTTCTCGCTTCTAAAATTTTTAATCTCACTTCCGTCTAAAACAATCACAGGTTCCTCGACAACAAAAAAGGCTTCGTCCTAGGCAACGATGGTGTTCTTCTCCGCTACCTCAGCTAAGAATCTCCATCAAAACTATCAACTGGGCGATGGTTTCCCGATCGCCCAGTTCATCGGCAGTAGAGAATTTGCTACAGCAGCAGCAGCTCCAATCCCTGGCAGCGCTTGTAAGATCCCACTCGAGCTCCAAAGATCTAAACATCGCCAGACAAATTCACGCTCGAGTTCTAGACAGTCCTCTCTGGCCTAATAGATTCCTCGCCAATCTCCTCATGGAGATGTACGGCAAGGCGGGCGGCATGGACGAGGCGCGCGAGATATTCGACGGCATCTCCCACCCCAACACCCACAGCTGGAATATACTCATCGCGGCATATACCCACAACGGGCAATTTGATGCCGCCCAAGCTCTATTCCACGCCATGCCCGAGCGCGACGTCGTGGCGTGGAACTCGATCCTGGCGATGGAGGCGGCGCGCGAGGATTTCCAGGCGATGAAGGCGATCTTCAATGCGATGCCGGCGCCGGATCTCGTCTCCTGGAATGGTATGATCGCGGCATTCTCCCAGGCAGGGCACCTTGCGGCGGCCAAGGAGATGTTTGATCGCATGCCGCAGCGCGATCTCGTGTCCTGGAACACGATGATCCAGGCGTTCTTGCTGGCCGGGCAGATCCGCGAGGCAGAGATCATGTTTTGGGGCCTCCCGGACAAGAATGTGGTGTCCTGGAACACGATGATCCAGGGTTTCGGCGAGAAGGGGCAGATCCACGGCGCCAGGGAGCTCTTCGATGCGATGCCGTGGCGAAATATCATCTCCTGGACGGCAATTCTATCGGCGCACTCGCAGAGGTCGGATCTTTCCCAGGCGAAGGAGCTCTTCGACGCCATGCCCGAGCGAAATCTCGTCGCCTGGAACGCGATGCTAGCGGCATTTGCCGAGAATCACGATCTAAAAGGCGCCAGCGCGGTGTTCGATTCGATGCCGTGCCGCGACGTCGTGTCCTGGACGGCGATGCTTGTGGCATTGGCAAAACAGGGCAGTGTGGAATCCGCGAGAGAGATCTTCGAGCAGATGCCACAGAGGAACACTGTTTCATGGAACGCGATGCTGGAAGCTTATGCCCAGAATGGGCATCTGGAGGATGCGACCCTTGTCTTCGATCGAATGCCTCACAGGGACATCGTCTCGTGGAATGGAATGGTAGCGGCGTACACTCACAGGAAAATGGTGATCCAAGCCAAGGCCACCTTCGATTCGATGCCGCAGCGCAACAATCTCTCCTGGAACACCATCGCCGCGGCGTATGCCCTGGCGGGGAAATCCACCATAGCTCAGCGTCTCTTTGACACCATGCCAGGGAAGAACACCGTCTCGTGGAACTCACTCTCGGCAACTTATGCCCAGTCCGGGCATATCGATCGAGCAATGGAGATCTTCCACGGCATGCTGGCTGCTGGATTGGAACCGGACGAGGTCTCGTTCGTGATCATGCTCTCGGCTTGCAGCCACGCCGGGAAGCTCGATCGAGGGTGGAGCTACTTTGCTCTCATGACTGGGGAGTTTAAGCTGGTGCCTTGGGCGGAGCACTACTACTGCATGGTGGATGTTCTTCGGCGGGTCGGGCAGCTCAAGCTGGCTGAGAGTCTGGTCAGCAACATGCCTTTTGTTCCAGATAGCAAGGTTTGGGGATCTTTGGTAGCGGTGTGTGTGCCGCAAGAGCAAGAGATGGAGCGAGGGAATCAAGCAGCCAAGAACGCGTTTGAGATTGAGCCAGGAAATGCTGCTCCTTATGTATTGCTGTGCAATCTCTGGGGTAAGATCACTTGAAAACTTTTGAATTTTTGAAATTTTATATTCTCAAATTTTTTTAAACTTGGAAGATTCTTTCAAGATGGCAATGTCGTCCACTTTTTCAGTAAATTGAGATCGTTATAAATTCCAAGGCTCTACCAGAGAAGAAAGAAGATGTGTTGCCATGCTTTTGTCCCAGTTGCTGGTGCGTGTTTAGCACAAGAGAGTTACAAACTGCAAGAGAAAAGAGTAGAACTCCGTAGGCTTGGGTCCGTTTGGTAGATCTCAAGACACCCGTGAGATCTTGAGCGATTGGCGAATAAGTGTGATCACAGGCTTGGTTGACGCTGTTTTGCTCTGGCTTTCGATAGATTAAGCTGTAATTAAGCGATTCGATGCCAGCAGCTGGAAACAACCCAAGGATTTACATTGGTTCCCAAAGTAGCTCAGAATTCCACACCTTTGTATTTGGAGAAAACATTACGAAAGGTAGAATTTCCCCATTCTGCCAAAAATCTAGTTCGGAAGTTTACAGCGTCACTCAAGCGAAGCAGACGAAAGTTTGAGGCTCCAGAGAATCCTTGAGTACGCTCGGACTCCTCTTTTCTCTCAGCTACATCAATGAGAAAAAGAAAGTGATCGTCCGGATCGCAGCAAGCGAGAATGTATAGCACGTCCTGTCCCGTCCCAGAGCCTGGGCACCTCCCAGGCATCGCTGCCATGGCAGGAATGCTCTTGTCATGCTGACGCCATAGCTGCTAAGCCCTAGCTTTGCACTCCTCTTTCGGGCATTTGCAGTCATGAAAAGCCACAAGGATTTCTTGAAGCTTTCTCGCTGCTCCAACCCACGGCGACGGTCCAGAATGTCATTCCCTAGGCTTAGGGGGAATGAGCGGACACTCAATGAACGCAATGAAATGGGTCTTGCTTGTTGGCGCTCCGACATCGCAGCATATGACCAGAAAGGGGATTTTGCAAGGGCGTCTTGGCTGTTGTGCAAAATGCCTATGTACAGCAAAAGCCTTTTGGCATTTGCTTCAGAAAGGGAAGAACAAATGCAAATTCCTGGAAACACGTTCAGAGTGTCTATGGTAGTGGATGAGAACACGCGGATGATTCTGAAGCCTCAAGATTGGAAGTACAGGTTTGTTTCCCAGGAGTTTGTTCCTCCCACAGCAGTTCCCCCTCCTGGGTATTTGCTCCAAGCTGAAGCTACAAGGGACAGTGATATATGCAAAGGGGCATTGATTGTAATGCATGAAGAGTTTCTAAAACTCTTGGATATATGCATTACACATTACATGAAGCATGTGTTGCTTCTCAAAATGAGGGAATTCTATCCTAAAACAAATGCCAATCAAGTAGAATTGCAATTTCGTCACATAATGAAGCTATCCAGATTTGAAGACATCACTGAAATTAAAGACAAGAAAGGCTTGAGGGATAGCTGTACAATTGACCCTAACTGGGTATGGCCTCTCACACCATGCCAAGCTGTGGCTACTGCACGAGCGCTTCTTTACAAGGCTAAAGTGGAATGCTTCTCTGAACTCACACCAGAAGGTATTCAACAATATTTTGACCAATTCGACATGAGAGTTGTCAGGAATAAAAAGGTGCACTACGCTCAAAATTTGATTGTGCACCCTCAAGACTACAGGTTTCGTGAGCCAAGGTTTAAAACCATGATGACAGCTGAAGGATTACGTGCTGTGAGCATGCTTCAAGTAGCAGAAGCCACGGGACAATTGGAGCAAATGGGAAACATTGAAGTCCGCAAGGCTCTCATGAAAACCTTGCACACACAAGGAGTTCTGAAATAGAAGGGATTTTATTGTCTACCAGCAATCTGTAATCTGTGGAGGACTTCATGGTCCTCTAAGGAAATCCTTCTTATCGAAGTGGCTCCTTCTTCACCTCCTCCAGCATCCGCTCTTGGTGCTCCACCAGCCTCGCCACAACCGGGAGCTGCGACTCAGCCAGTGGGAGCAAACCAGGAAAGCTCGGAGCGCCAGCCTCCACCACCTTTCGTGCTCGCTCCAGAGCGTCCTTGGCTCTGAAATAGCTCTCGGCGTCCAGCTTGTCAATGGGAACAAAATCATACTCTCGTTTGCTCCCCCACACACACTTTGCCAGTCTCTTGAAGCGGAAATCCCAAACCGCGCACTCCCACTGCATATTGATATCCATAGCCACCGTGCGCACACCGTCCCTCCACTCTGTGAAGCTTGTCGAGCTCGTCGCGCTCGCGGCAAAGACTTCCCTCTCGGCAGCACACGCCAGCCTCTGCGCAAACTCCATCGCCGGCCACAGCTCCTTCGTCGGCAGATCGTCCCACTCGTCCAGCAGCGGGGAGAGGCGCGCCACCCATTCCTTGCCCGGTGCCGGGCCTGGGTAGTCGAAGTATGGATCCTCGTCCGCAATGAAGAAGTTCTCCATGAAGAGAGCCGGGTATTTCAGACCACGGGCGCTGCCAGTCGCGACACGGGCGAATCGCTGGTAGAAGGAGAAGTCGAGGATCATGTCCATGTGGTATTCGACGCGGAAAGAGAGACGCTCCATGAGCAGGTTGACGAGGGATTTGTAGCAGTTGTAGTCGTCATCACTTGGCTGTGCGACGCTGTAATATCTCCTCACCCGGACTGGACGACTCCTCCTCGCCAATGCCGCCAACGCCGCCAACGCCGCCAATCCAGCCGCCATCGTTGCCCCTGTAAATCTTTTAGGGCAGAATAGGAATTTAGGGTTTTGAATATTCGCCCCAGCTTATGGTCTCCATCCCCAAAAGACATAAAAATAATTGAAAACCAGAAAATGCCTCTGCTGCGTAACTCTTTACTACTCACAGACAACAGTGAGGAAACACGGACCTCATTGTTCTCCAAGTTATGGCTTCTCTCTTCAATACTTTGAGGAGGGATCATAGCCAGTGACAGCTTCCCCTCTCCCCATAACCAGTTTTTGCTTGAGCTAACTTCTGAGCAGGAAATGAATGTAGTAATATAAAATATGATCGGCAGTTGAAGACATTTTCTTGCCATTTTACCCTGCAAAATTGGGTGCTCTTTCAAAATGCCTTTTAAATGCAAGTTAGCAGTATACAACTATCAAGAAAGGAGGTTTTCAATCAGATTCAGACTAATGTAACTATCATCAACTCTTGGTCTAGTTGGCGAATGCTAGGATATAAATTCAACTATGGACCAGTGGCCAATTCGCAAAACATTGACGATGCATGATGTGGCTAAGCTCCAGGAAAAGCATATGTCTAAAATTCTAAAATGGCTTTACACAAATGGAGACTTCATTGGTCATATAGACTTGTATAAACTGTGAGTATGTAAATAATTGCGAGCCTTATAGAATGTGTCATATGGACAATGAGTAAATTGGTTTGTAATAGTTGCATTTTACATTATTGTATCATGTATCATATGGATTCTATGTTCATGCTTTGATATATGGGCAACTCAATATATAATTGTTTGTTAGCTGTTAACCACCAAACAATCACATGTAAATTACAACATAACATATACAATAAGTAACAAAAAAGAATAATCTGAGAGACAATCCATTGAGGTTAAATATAAAAAGAAATGACCCATGCACAAAAGTGTACCTTTTTTTTCATTTAGTTAAAGGTTTTTAAATAAAAAGTTATAAGTTGTATATAGATTTAGCTAGTGCAAATGAAGTTACATATTATACACATATTTGGCAGCACAAAAGAATTATAAATGACAATACTCTTGAACATAATGCATTGAGCACTTTTGGTATGATATATATGTTTTATGCATTATTAAGATTTTTTATTTTAATTTTTTTTGTGTAGTATATTTTTTGTTGTTAAGAGAGTGAAGACAATTATGTGTTAGCAGACCTTAAAATTATTGAGAAAGAAAGTAGATTTCACCTTTAATTCCTTTTAGAAAACATTTTCTTTTGAAATTATACTTTTTATTTAACTAAACTGTGCATGAAGAATACTTTTGTATCTAACCACTTTGTCAAAAGACCTTTATTCAAAATCACTCAGTTTTTATCACTCATTTCTTTGCAAAGAAAAATCATACATGAATAGCAAATTATGAGCACTCCCACCACCCAAAACTGGAATATGGGTAATTTAATGCTGCCCAAGCTCTATTCCACACCATGCCCAAGCGCAATGTTGTAATGTGGAACTCAATCTTGGCAATCAGGTCATGAAGGCAATTTTCAATGCAATGCCGGCACTGGATCTCGTCTCCTGGAATGCGGCATTAGTAGTGCTCCGCCCAAGGCACTAGCTTAAACTCCCCAGTCATGAGAGCAAAGTAGCTCCATCCTTGATCGAGCTTCCCAGCGTGGTTGCAAGCCGAGAGCATGATCACAAACGAGACCTCGTCCGGTTCCAATCCAGCAGCCAGCATGCCATGGAAGATCTCCATTGCTCGATCGATATGCCCGGACTGGGCATACATTGCCGAGAGTGAGTTCCACGAGACGGTGTTCTTTGTCAAAGAGTTGCTGAGTTCCGGTGGATTTTCCCACCAGGGCATACGCCGCGGCAATGGTGTTCCAGGAGAGATTGTTTGGCTGCGGCATCGAATCGAAGGTAGCCTTGTGTAAGTGTACGCCGCTACCATTCCATTCCACGAGACGATGTCGCATTCGATCGAAGACAAGGCTCGCATCCTCCAGATGCCCATTCTGGGCATAAGCTTCCAGGATCGCGTTCCACGACATGGTGTTCCTCTGTGGCATCTGCTCGAAGATCTCTCCCGCGGATTCCACACTGCCGTGTCTTGCCTATGCAACAAGAATTGCCGTCCAGGATACGATGTCGCGGCACAGAATCGAACAGCGGGCTGGCGCCTTCCAGATCGTGATTCTCTAGCATCGCGTTCCAGGCGACGAGATTTCGCTCGCGCATGGCGTGGGTAAGATCACTTAAAAATTTTGAACTTTTCATTTTCTATTCTGAGCTTCCGCGCCAGCCTCGCCACAACCGGGAGCTGCGACTCAGCCAGCGGGAGAAAACTGGGATAGCTCGGAGCGCCAGCCTCCACCACCTTTCGTGCTCGCTCCAGAGCGTCCTGTTGTAAACCAAGGAAGAAGAGAAAAAACTCTCTCGCTCAGATATAGTCATCGCTATACATACAGAGGTGAGAGTCGTGACTCTCCAGATCCACCACGTGTCACCACGTGTCTCAGCCGTACGGTGATCTCGGATGTACTACATCCTCACACCCCCACTCAGCCGAGATCAGCGTGCGAAGGCTGGATCAGAAAAAAGAAACTAACTAATGCTAAACCACTGGGAAACCTATCTCACTCCCCCCACTCAGCCGAGAAAAGCTGAGCTCATGAAATCAGCATCTTGTGGTGTTGAACAAGAGTAGCAGCATGTTCCAAGGTACCCAAGCTTGCACACAGCCCAGCTTGTATCAGGACCCGTCAGGAACCAGCATCTTGTTCCATGTCCCCCCACTCAAATGTGATCTCTCCATCAGCCTCAAGGCCTTTGCGCACAGCAATTCCCAGGAAGAACAAAAGCCTCGTGGCAGCATCAGAAAATCTCCAGCCCAAGGAAGCCTTCCCTTGTAGCAGCAGGGGCATCAGATCGTCTCCAGCGGTAGCAAGCAATGCCGCAACCCTTCCAATTCAAATCCAGGCCAGTCTTGATCAAGAACCGCCTCCATTTTAGGGTTGCCTACACAAGACAAAATAAACAAGAAAACTTCCATCTTGATATTTGCAATTCACAGCCGCTCCAGATCAGGGGGCTTGTCGTCTTCCTCCTCTTCCTCCTCCATTCAGCCCAGGATTTAATCCCTGATCTCTGATACCATGTTGTAAACCAAGGAAGAAGAGAAAAAACTCTCTTGCTCAGATATCGTCATCGCCATACATACAGAGGTGAGAGTCGTGACTCTCCAGATCCACCACGTGTCACCACGTGTCTCAGCCGTACGGTGATCTCGGATGTACTACATCCTCACACGTCCTTGGCTCTGAAATAGCTCTCGGCGTCCAGCTTGTCAATGGGAACAAAATCATACTCTTGTTTGCTCCCCCACACGCACTTTGCCAGTCTCTTGAAGCGGAAATCCCAAACCGCGCACTCCCACTGCATATTGATATCCATAGCCACCGTGCGCACACCGTCCCTCCACTCTGTGAAGCTTGTCGAGCTCGTCGCGCTCGCGGCAAAGACTTCCCTCTCGGCAGCACACGCCAGCCTCTGCGCAAACTCCATCGCCGGCCACAGCTCCTCCGTCGGCAGATCGTCCCACTCGTCCAGCAGCGGGGAGAGTCGCGCCACCCATTCCTTGCCCGGCGCCGGGCCTGGGTAGTCGAAGTATGGATCCTCGTCCGCAATGAAGAAGTTCTCCATGAAGAGGCGACACGGGCGAATCGCTGGTAGAAGGAGAAGTAGAGGATCGTGTCCATGTGGTATTCGACGCGGAAAGAGTGAGCAGGTTGACGAGGGATTTGTAGCAGTTGTAGTCGTCATCACTTGGCTGTGCGACGCTGTAATATGTCCTCGCTAATGCCGCCAACATCGTATCTTTTAGGGCAGAATAGGCGGTCTCGAAATTTCATCGCCATAAACACATAAAACTAATTGAAGAACAGAAACTGCGTACAAACACTGGAACAACGAAAGACTATGTAACTCTTTGCTACGGACAGACAAAAGTGAGGAAACACGGACCTCATTGTTGCTCCGAGTTATGGCTTCTCTCTTCAATACTTTGAGGAGGGATCATAGCCACTGACAGCTTCCCCTCTCCCAGGAATGAATTTCGCCACAACCAGCTTTTACTAGAGCTTGTATTCCTATGCACACAAAAACAGATGAGAAGAAACTACACCAGGAATGTAGCAGTAATTGTAGGAGTACCTTGCAAAAATGGGTGTTTTTTGAAAATGCCTTTTAAACACAAGCTAGCAAACAGACTACCAACATAGGAGGTTTTGAGTTAGATTCAAACTAATAAAGCTATCACTAAAGGCACTTTATACAAATGTGGAGCCTTTAGTTTGAATAGGTTACAGCAAAGGCACTTATACAGAGTCTTATGCACTATATAAATTTTTGTAGTAATTGCATCTTAGCAAGGTTGTGTAAACACTTTGAAACACAGAGGTGAGGCCCAGCTTGCCTCATGAATTCTCAAATACTAGCTTATATACTATTTATATTGTCTTCCTTTATAACTCTATTGTATGGATTCTATGCTTATGCCTTGAAACCTGGGGCAACTCATTATAGTCACGTGTTATAGTATGCATGTGATTTTGAACACATACACACAGGATAAATGTGGATTTGGCCAGTGTAAAGGACGTAGGAGTTGACAATAATGCAGTAGAAAATAATATACAATATACCAGTAGAAAATAATATGGTATATTGTTGGGGTACTCAAGACATGAGTTTTATTCAGAAGATGTTGACAAAAAATTAGGTTTGCTTTGAATATTTTCTTGCATATGTTCATCACTCTCTACCTTGCAACATATTGAGCATGTTTGGTGTGTTATATATGTTTTATACATCATAAGGATATTACTTGCAATTGATTTTCTTGTGATTCCTTCATGTAAATGCAGTATACTTTTTTTTTTTGGCTGTCGTTAGAGATGGGGAGTGACTAAATTTTTGTTTTCTAGAAACTTGCAAAAGTTTGTGATATGCCACAAAAAATTTGAACTCCTTTAATTTTAGAACTAAAGCACTATGCAAATTGTGAATGTGCAACTCACTTTGTTTGTCAAGAGCGATCACTGGCATAAAAGTTCTCAAGAGTAGTGTATCTTTATGTAATTAAGCTACTTTATCAAAATATCTTTGTTCTTTAGAAGGAAAATTTGTAAATAAAAACTTCCACTTGGTTGTGAACACTCCCACCTCAAAAAAATCATCTCTCCCAACCGCACGAAAATATTCAACTACATCTTCCAGCCCAACACCCACAGCTGGAATATACTCACAACAGGCAATTTGATGCCGCCCAAGCTTTATTCCGCCCCAGTGCAATGTTATGGTGTGGAATGGCGATGGAGGCAGGATTTCCAGGCGATGAAGGCAATTTTAAATGCGATGCCGGCAGAAGATCTCATCTCCTGGAATGGTATGATCGCAGTATTTCTCCCAGGCTAGGCAAGCCAAGGAAATGTTTGATCACAAGCCGTAGCTCAATCTTGTGTCAAAGAACACGATGATTCAGGCATTCTTGCATCCTGGAACACGATGATCCAGGGTTTTGGCAAGAAGGAGCAGATCCACAGTACCAGGGAGCTTTTTGATGCGATGGCATGAAATATCATCTCCGCAATTCTATCAGCGCACTCGCAGAGGTTGGATCTTTCCCAGGTGAAGGAGAGATTACACAGCAATACATAAGGAGCAATCTCAAATGCTTTCTTAGCCCTCGCTCCATCTCTTGGTCTTGCAGCACACACACCAATCCCCAAACCTTGCTATCTGGAACAAAGGGCATGCTGCTGACCAGACTCTCAGCCAGCTTGAGCTGCCCGACCCACCGAAGAACATCCACCATGCAGTAGTAGTGCTCTGCCCAAGGCACCAGCTTAAACTCCCTAGTCATGAGAGCAAAGTAGTTCCACCCTCGATCGAGCTTCCCTGCGTGGCATCACTAAGTAGACCTCGTCCGGTTCCAATCCAGCAGCCAGCATGCCGTGGAAGATCTCCATTGCTCGATCGATATGCCCGGACTGGGCATACATTGCCGAAGTACGGTGTTCTTCACTGGCATGGTGTCAAAGAGACGCTGAACTATGGTGCATTTTTCCGCCAGGGCATACGCCGCAGCGATGGTGTTCCAGGAGAGATTGTTTCGCTGCGGCATCGAATCCAAGGTAACCTTGGCTCGGATCACCATTTTCCTGTGAGTGTACGCCTCTACCATTCCATTCCACGAGATGATGTCCCTGTGAGGCATTCGATCGAAGACAAGCCTCGCATCCTCCAGATGCCCATTCTGAGCATAAGCTTCCAGTATCGCGTTCCTGTTTCTCTGTGGCATCTGCTCGAAGATCTCCACACTGCCGTGTCTTGCCAATGCAACAATAATCGCCGTCCAAGATACGATGTCGCCGCACGGCATTAAATCGAACACCCTTCTAGATCGTGATTCTCGGCAAAATGCCGCTACCTCGGTGGGTAAGATCACTTAAAAATGTTGGAATTTTTCATTTTCTATTCTGAGCTTCCGCGCCTGGTGCTCCACCAGCCTCGCCACAACCGGGAGCTGCGACTCAGCCAGCGGGAGCAAACCGGGAAAGCTTGGAGCGCCAGCCTCCACTACCTTTCGTGCTCGCTCCAGAGCGTCCTTGGCTCTGAAATAGCTCTCGGCGTCCAGCTTGTCAATGGGAACAAAATCATACTCTCGTTTGCTCCCCCACACGCACTTTGCCAGTCTCTTGAAGCGGAAATCCCAAACCGCGCACTCCCACTGCATATTGATATCCATAGCCACCGTGCGCACACCGTCCCTCCACTCTGTGAAGCTTGTCGAGCTCGTCGCGCTCGCGGCAAAGACTTCCCTCTCGGCAGCACACGCCAGCCTCTGCGCAAACTCCATCGCCGGCCACAGCTCCTTCGTCGGCAGATCGTCCCACTCGTCCAGCAGCGGGGAGAGGCGCGCCACCCATTCCTTGCCCGGTGCCGGGCCTGGGTAGTCGAAGTATGGATCCTCGTCCGCAATGAAGAAGTTCTCCATGAAGAGAGCCGGGTATTTCAGACCACGGGCGCTGCCAGTCGCGACACGGGCGAATCGCTGGTAGAAGGAGAAGTCGAGGATCATGTCCATGTGGTATTCCACGCGGAAAGAGAGACGCTCCATGAGCAGGTTGACGAGGGATTTGTAGCAGTTGTAGTCGTCATCGCTTGGCTGTGCGACGCTGTAATATCTCCTCACCCGGACAGGACCACTCCTCCTCGCCAATGCCGCCAACGCCGCCCAATCCAGCCGCCATCCTTTAAGGAAGAATAGGAATTTAGGGATTGGAATATTCGCCAAAAAACCAGTTCTCGAAATTCACCATCGCCACAAGCTAACAAACGAACCAGTCACGACTGAAAATGCAAAAGCTTCACACCCCAAAGCAAATGGCTGGTTTGGGGTGCAGCATTTCTAAACAGACCTGAGAAGTCGGCATTGTTGTTCCCACTCAAAGTTGACTTGGAGGGATCATAGCCTCTGATAGCTTCACCTCTCCCAGGAATGAATTTCGCCACGACCAGCTTTTGCTCTTGCTGCTCCGGCACGCACACAAAAACACATGAGAACTTCTGATGAAGCAAGTTTATGCGAAATTACGCCAACCTGGATGATATATGATCCGCAGCAGATAATCTTGTAGGAGATAACCTTCAACCCCTGCTTTCAGTGTTTCCGGATCGCCCACAACGATTTGCACCGAGCGTGCCAGCATCCGATAGTCAAAGCTAGTCCCAAATCATAATTTTAGCAAGGAAAGGAAAAACAAAATGCCTCAAACATTTTCCCATTGAAGGCAAATGGCACCTGGGGATCGGTTCTCTCATGGCGAAATTTAATTAATTCAACGTGGCGAGGTTTTCTCATGTCAAAATTTAAGTAAAAATTATCGACCAAGATTTGTTTCTAAAGACGGACGGCTGCGATGATATTTAATTGTTTTTGCTTTTAGGGCTAACTAGTTTAGGGCAGGGCGATGGCGATCATCTCTGAGGTAGAGGAGGAGGCCGAGGTCCCCAAGCCCGTCGCCGCGGCTCCTCCGTCGGACTCCGGCAATGCTGCTCACGACAAGATTTTGGAGGCGCTGCTCAAGGAGCACAATGATCAGCCGCTGGAGCTGCTCAAAACGGTAATCGGCTTTCTCACGCGCCGCTCGGCCGCCTTCCCCGACGAATACTTCGAGAGGCAGCTGTCGGAGATCGTGTCTAGCGCCAAGAGGCGGCGCGTCGATGGCAAGAAGAAGAATGCGGTGCCGGTGCCCGAGGCGGCGCCGTCGCGGGATTTCGAGAGCGAGCACAAGCATAAGGCCAGCGGCGGTGGATCAAGTGGCAAGCAATCGGCGTCGGCGGCTGTCCAGGAAACCAAGAACGAAGTCAAGGAAGTGGAGAGTTCTGACTCTACCGGATTGAGTAAGTTTATTTTGTTCTTTGCTTTAGTTGGTTCTTTGCTTGATCCTTTCGGTTCTTGGGTTTTTCTTCCCGCTTACAATATTTGTGTTCTTGCAGAGATTAATGCTGGAAATGGTGCCGATCTCGAAAAGTATTCGTGGACGCAAACATTAAGTGAGCTGACGGTGCAAATCCCCGTTGCAAAAGAGATCAAGGCGCGAGATATCGTCTGTGACATTAAGAAGAACCATCTGAAAGCTGGGCTCAAGGGTCAGCCGCCAATTCTCGAGGTGAGTGAAGGGATTCTCTTTCCTATTCTCTCACACTGTTGCTTTTTCTGTTATCAGGGCGATCTCTATGCATCCGTCAAGGTGGACGACTGCTTCTGGAGCATTGGTATGTGTTGCTGGTTGTTTATCAAGAGTTGGATGATTTTCTTGCTCTCAATCTAGATGCTGGCGATGGAAAGAAGGAAGCGGAGAAGTTCCTTTCTATCCTCCTCACCAAGACGAACAGGATGGAGTGGTGGAAAAACGTTGTGAAAGGCGAGCCAGAGATTGACACTCAAAAGGTTGAGCCGGAGAACAGCAAGCTGGGGGATTTGGACGCAGAGACTCGGCAGACCGTGGAGAAGATGATGGTATTTCATTTCATTTCTCTCTTTGTTCGCTGCTTGGCTTACTTCGTCTCCCTCGTTTTGCAGTACGACCAGCGGCAGAAGGCGATGGGATTGCCAAGCTCCGAAGACCAGCAAAAGCAAGAGATGCTCAAGAAGTTCATGGCACAGGTGAAAGCTTTTCTGTTTTGCGTTTTGGGATTTCTTTTCTCATTTTGGTTTTGGCTGTGGCAGCACCCGGAAATGGATTTCTCCAAGGCAAAAATCTGCTAGAGAGTAGAGACCGTATGAACAGGCGCCAATTTCATAGTTTTAAGCGAATATTCTAAGCCCTAAAACATTCACTTTTCAAATTTGGGAGAATATTCTAGTCCTAAATTCGAGTCGTTGACAGCCTCCAAATGCAAATTGCAAATTCACTTGATAATTTGAGAAGCAACTGAAACTTTCCTTTTGCCTTGCTGAATTTCGCCAGGCAGCATCTTCAAAGTCTCAGGATCAGCATAGGCCATAGAATATAGTAAGGAAAGAGGACAAACAAATGCCTTAAGTACTTGCCCATTGGAGCCAAATGCTGAGAGGAGAAGAGACTTTTCCTTATCTTCATATCTAGGGCTTTTAAATGAGAATTAAAACTAACAAGGAGTGAACCCTAAGCCAACTTCTTAACCTTTAATTCTGTTGTGTGGCATTAAACTTGTGACTTATATATGCAAGAGGATGCTTAATTTGAAGCAAGACAACCCCAATAGCAATGTCATTCACATCTGTCTTGACCACAAGAGTCTTAATCACCAAATCATTGTTTTTACATTTTATTACATTCACTTTAGCATTTTTTAACTCTTTTAGGACAGTCTTTATTTTGATGTCCAACCTTGTGCTAATGAAAACAATTACCCTCCACTTTATCTTTCTCTTGTTAATCCAAACAAAGTTTCTTAACTTTATTGTCACTTTTATTCTTTGAGCCATGACATAATAATAATAATTTCTTCCCCAAATATAAAGTATTAATTGGGTGGTCATCAGGTTGACTACCCTACCTTCTAGACAATCTTGTTAACTGAGTTGACTGATAGTTTTGGTGAAAGGATCTTGAGCCTTAGTAATAGCATCTACTAAAAAATCCTTCTTGACTTTCTATTGCACATCCATTTTGATAAAACATTATGCCTTTAACAATTTATTATAAGTTCCAGTGAGATTAAAGTAAAGAGCACTAAACTTGTGAGCATATAACAAAGTTCTTTGTCTGATTTCTAGCAGTTGATTCATAATATCAACATCTTTAAACTTCTTGATAAATAAAGTATGGAAAACTTTCATCAAATCACTCCAAGAGATTAGCTTTGGATTATCTTTGATATAATTCTTCCACTACCAAAAAATATAATGTAAGCAACCAAAGATAATGTTGTGTAAGAATTAAACAAAAATGCACCCTTTTTTCAATTGGTTAAAGGTTTTGTAATATTTAAAATTAAACATCAATTATTGACTCAATTTTCACCTTACCCTATCAGACCAACAACAATAGTAATCACAGGCATGAGATTGATTTAACATTTGGGGGTCTATACTTAACAATAAATCTAGTGACCTTGCCACACAATGACATTATCAATAGATCATCATAGCCATCATCAGTAACATTATACTCTTCAAGATTTATATTCTACCAAAAGATCGTGTTACTCCAACATTACTGAAATAAACAAGGTGTTATGGCTTTAATCCGGTAAATTCGCAGATTGGGGCGCCAACGAACAGAAAATTTTTCAAATCAACCCAACACTATATCCGCGCTTCTGCCCTAAAAGATTGCATTATGGCGGCTGGATTGGCGGCTATGGCAGCTGGATTGGCAAGAGGGAGTCGTCCTGTCCGGGTGAGGAAATATCACAGCGTGGCACAGCCAAGCTGGAAGGACTACAGATGCTACAAATCCCTCGTCGGCCTGCTCATGGGGCGTCTCTCTTTCCGCGTGGAATACCACATGGACATGATCCTCGACTTCTCCTTCTACCAGCGATTCGCCCGTGTCGTGGATGGCAGCGATATCCGACTCCTCAACCAGCGGATTCGCGTCTTCAATTACCCGATTCTCTTCATGGAGAACTTCTTCATCGGGGAGGGCGATCCATACTTCGACTACCCAGGCCCGGCGCCGGGCAAGGAATGGGTGGCGCGCCTCACCCCGCTGCTGGACGAGTGGGATCGTCTGCCAACCGAGGAGCTGTGGCCGGCGATCGAGTTTGCGCAGAGGCTGGCGTGTGCTGCCGAGAGGGACGTGTTTGCCGCGAGCGAGACGAGCTTGACAAGCTTCAAAGATTGGAGGGACGGTGTGCGCAGGGTGGCCATGGATTCCAATCTGCAGTGGGAGTGTGGGATGTCGGATTACGGCTTCAAGAGTCTTGCAAAATGCGTGTCGGGGAGCAAACGAGAGTACGATTTCGTGCCCAGTGACGAGCTAGGCGCCAAGAGCTATTCCATTGCCAAAGACGCCCCGGAGCGAGCACAAAAGGTGGTGGAGGCCGGCGCTCCCATGGATCCTAGTTGGCTCCCGCTGGCTGTGTCGCAGCTCCCGGTTGTGACGAGGCTGGTGGAGCACCAGGGGCGGATGCTGGACGAGGTGAAGAAGCGGCCACCATATCAGCGACTTTCAAAAACTCCTCATGCATCACGATCAAAGCACCATGACATATGTCATTCTTCTCTGCTAACTTCGCTTGCAGCAGATACCTAGGCGGAGGAACTGCTGTGGGATCAACACTCTCTTCGGAAACGAATCGAAACTTCCAGTTTTGTGGACTCAAGACCCTCAGCGTGCTTGCATCCACCACCATGGAGCGTGTTATTAAGCTACGGGTTTTTCCTGGGACGCTAACGCCAAAAGGCTTTTGCTGTACTGGGGTACACCAAACATGCTCAATATGTTGCAAGGTAGTTTGCCATACAACGAAGATGCCCATGTCAGATACATCATGTGCTGAGCACCAAGAAACAAAACTTCCAGAAGGCGTGTCTGATCCTTTCCCCCTTCGTCAAGCCTAGGCAATAACAGCCTGAAGCGTCGCAGCGGAGCGAAGAAGAGTAAAAGCCTCCAGCAATCCCCGCCCGCAAATCCCCTAGGGTTTAGCGATCGATGCATCATGCAAGGAGGCGCTCAGGCTGCCGTGCTCTTTTACATTCTCTCTTTGCGCCGGGATCACCACCGTCTTAGACTCTTAGCTAGAGTTGCAGTAAAAGAGATTCTCCAGCAGCAAAAGAAAAGGCCGTCGGAGTTTCTAATTACAAAGATGTGGCATTTACGCAAGAGAGCTCACGATCAGCTGAAGAGATGAGGAGTTGTAAACTACAGCTTGATCTCGAAAGCCAGAGGAGAACAGCGTCAATGTGCTCGTCGGCTGCCCAATGTGCTACCATCCCAAACGCCGAGTTTACAACACTACTGGTTGTCCGGGTTTTCATTCGGAAGCTCCAGCTGCAAGGATACAAACTTAAGGTAAAGTCTCTTCCTCTTTCTAATGGGCAAGTGCTCGAGGCATTTTGTTTAATTCTGAATTTTGTGAGTACGAAACGCTGGAGTTTCTGCCTCGCTCGGTGGGCGATTTGGGAGGGCCGGAGGCGGTGGAAGCAGCGGTCCAAGGTTGCAACAAGATCATCTGCTGTGCCGCTGCACGATCGATTACAAAGTTAACAAGTAAGGGAGTCCAAACTCTATAGGTTCGCGTAAACTTGCTTGCTCAGAAGTTCTGATGTGTTTTTGTGTGCGCAGGAATACAATCATAGGCTGACACAAACTCGTGCTGGGTGGAGCAGCAATGGTTGTGGCGAAATTCACCAATGCAAAAGAGGTGAAGCTTTCAGTGGCTACGATCCCTCAAAGTATCAAGTGAAGTTTGGTGGAACTTTGGATGTGGACGAAAGCAACAATGCCGACTTTGCAGGTTCGTGTTTCCTCACTTTTGCCAGCTTTCGTTGTTCCTGCAGCAGAGGTGGCGGTGAACGTTTTACTCCTACCATTTGGAGATCAAACCCGGACAATCCAGTAATCACCATGGATCTCATGCTCTTGAATGATAAGGCAAACTTTCTCAACGTGAGCATTGAAGCGATGAGGATGACAACGAGCACAAACCACGTATCCTCCCATTTCAAGCATGCACTTATAGCCACAGGAATTCAAATAGGCCATCGAGAAACTCAGCCAAAGTGATCCTTGGACAAGTCCAAATGCTTTTTTTATCAATCGAACTCAAATGATAATTTCATCGAGGGAACTACTTGTCAGAGCATTTGTAAGCAATAGTTTCCCCACGTAACCTTCTTCGACGTTTGATCTTGTGCCAGGAATACAAGCAGTCTGGCACAACCTCGTGCTGGTCGGAACAGTAATGGTTGTGGCGAAATTCACCAAAGCAAAAGAGTGAAGCGGGTACGGTCCCTCAAAGTATCAAATGAAATTTGGTGGACTTCATCGCTCTAGAATGGCACCTCTTTGAGCTCTACGGTGAATGATGCGCTCGGAACCCAATTTAGCAGCTATAGCCTTCCTCTTCTCTCGGTCTCATGGATGCTTGCGTTTGGCTCCCGGCCTCTTTTTTCTCAGCACAGGGACTAAGCTCGAAGTTCGTTGATCTCAGGCTGAGTCCCCAAAAACAAACAGGCCTTACGAGCCGAGCAGCTTGAGACATTGGGATGCATGCAATGACGACTTCAATTTGTGATTTATAACCCAAACCTCTAGTTTAAAAGTTTGGGCGAAATCCCTCAATGGCGGAAGGAATCTGACCGTATTACAGCGTCGCTGAGCCAAGCTGGGACGACTACAGATGCTACAAATCCCTCGTCGGGCTGCTCATGGAGCGTCGCGTCGAATACCACATTGCATGATCCTCGACTTCTCCTTCTACTGGCAGCTTCTACTACTTCAATTACCGAATCTCTTCTGGGAGAACTTCTTCATTGGGGAGGCCGATCCATACTTCGACTACCCGGGTCCGGCGCCGGGAAAGGATATGGGTGCCGCGCCTCTCCCCGCTGCTGGACGAGTGGGACGATCTGCCAACAGAGGAGCTGTGGCCGTCGATGGAGTTTGCGCGGAGGCTGGCATGTGCAGCTGAGAGGGACGTATTTGCCGCGAGCGAGACGAGCTCGACAAGCTTCACAGAGTGGAGGGACGGTGTGCGCAGGGTTGGCCATGGATTTTAATCTGCAGTGGGAGTGTGGGGTGTGGGATTTCGGGTTCAAGCCTCTCTTCCCGCTTTTCTTTCGTTCGTAATATATTGCGGAGAAAGACAGACTGAGAGGAACACTTCTTCGTTTTCAGGCTCGGACAGCACACAAGTGAATGACCATAACTTTTGTACACCCTGCTATACAAGCCGTATCATAAATCTTGCATAGAGCATTGTATTTTCGTATCTGTCTACAAAGCCGCTCAGACTCAGTACA